GGAAATGGGCTTCCATAAACAGCTGTGTTCGGAACAATATAACGTTTTACTATTAAATCAGTTTAATTAAGCTTTTATTGTGAAAGTACTTCCGGTCGTTCCCGGAAGTACTTCCCCTTGCTTTGGAAAAATGTTTCAAATCGTTTCACGCGCCTGAATAAAACTTCCTGCCTTAACAGTAAATATTTTGAAGCAAAACGTTTTATTATACCTAAATACTGCTTTGATATTCTTGTCATGATAAACGCTGATGAAGTCGCTAAACTGTGTTACGAGCGTTTCCGACAGCTGCCCCGGAGAGGGAAGCCGGAGGCCGGCAGAGAGTGGAGCCTGTTGGCCGCTGTGCTCCGGGTCAACCGGAGCCTAAACACTGGATCAGGTTAGAGCAGAAAAAACAGCCATGTGATGTAAATGTGATTGACTTCGCTTTTATTTTCAAACAGTCTCTCTGTGCAAGAGTCTGCAACAATGTTATCTTGATTAAAATAATTTGGCGTTATGATTTTTTTTTAATATATTTGGTTCCTTTGGAATGGCTCAGAATCTAAATGGAAAATAAGCCATGAAAATATCCACTAAAATGGACACTATGAAAGATTAGCAATCAGTGCAATAAATGTGCAATCACATACTATAACAGTGATTATTTTTCAGTAACTATTTTCAATAGAATACTCATTGATGTACATTCTCATTAAGAGCGAATGTGAAAAAAAAATAAAATAAAAAAATATTTAAATAAATAAACAAAAAGGATTACAAAAAACTCCATCTCAGCAGGGTGGGATAGTCATAAATAGAGAGGCTGTCTGTTGAGAGGGTTTTGAGTTTTTCTCATAAGTGGAAAGTTTAGTGGAAGGTAAAAATGTGGTTAAAAAAAAAAACATGCACAATTATCAGAAATAGCTGCAGCCTCCTAAAGACAAAGGAGTAACGGCCACTCAGGAGTTTGTGCGGGATTCACACTGAGTGGAGACCCATCAGGCATCACACAGATGGATCCATTTACACTACCCTCCTGAAACCGTTCTGAGATCGGGCCGAGCTCAGAAACCAGGATTACTGTTGAGTGTAAATTGAACGCAACTGAACTGGACCATGCCAGACACGACCTAAATCTAGTTCTAGTAGGTTTTCTTGTGTGTCCGGCTTTATCATTCACAGATGTCTTCATCTGTTCACAAAATGAATTTCTTCTCAGCCTGTTAACAATAAATGGCATCAAAAGAGTGTGATGCTCTCATTGAAATTTGGGCTGAGGACAACATACAGGCACGTAAGTTCTTGAATGTTATGGGCGCCGCCCTTTTTGTTTGCCTAATTCCCACCTTGAGAGCTGCAGTATTGTGGACCAACAGGAGGCGAGGAACTGTTCCAGCCTGATGTGTAAATGGTCCTAAGGAAATAAGCTTGGCACCGTTAACTGATCCAAGCTCGGTCCAAACTCCGTCAATTTGATTTCAGAGGGGTAGCGTTAATGAGAAGCTCAGGGATGGACAAGATCCTATTTTCTCTACCATCAAACATAATTTAAAACACTAAATGGCTTATTTATCTAAGCAGACGAAGACGATGCAGAATGAAGGACTTGTAGCTATGGATCTGAGGCTGTTGGAAAATCACGTGCTCTACAACCTAAACAGTCTCGCTCTGAGGAACAATCAGAGGAAACAGATCGCCTCACAAATGTTGCAGAGAGTTTGATCTGCATCTCATTTAGTATAGACTCTCTGTCACAATAATTCAGTCAGCTCCAATAAAAGTAACAAACTCTACATCCATCTCTGGATGAGCCCCTACTGTTGCATTCATTGCATATAAGGAACGATGGATTAGGCGGAAACTCCGGTTTAAAGTGTACCTCAGTGGTTCTTTTCTGATTAAAGTCTGTATTTCTTTAAGAAATCAAGAACTCAAAGTCCGGAGGAAGAGTCGAGAAGACAGGAATCTACATTGCACTAAGTGATGATTTTTTACAGATGATATAAAGCTTTAAAAAGCTTTCCAGCCATCCAGCACTGTCAAAGGATACCAAAAGCTAGTGCAGTACTGTACTGTTATAGCCAGCTAATTGTCTTAAACCTTATAGAGTCTCTATTGAGTATTTTAGAGAGAAGGAGAAGGATGAGAGACAAGACAACCAGCAATGCCATACAACACATCATAGCTCTATCTATGCTAAAGAAGCACCGATGGAATATTTAGGGTATAGAATTTAGTTCTCTAAAATATAAATTTCTACTGCTCTTATGTGATAGTTATGAGCTATATTTATCCAAAATTAAAACAGATTTCTGAGCTGCTGATTATTGGTCATTGATGTGTCGTTTGTTTAGAGTGACTGAAGCCCTGCTGCAGGCTCTTTAAAATCAGCAGTAGAGTCGACTCCAGCAGAAAATTAAGGTATTAAAATTATATTCCAGTTTATTCCTTACTCTATTAGTTTTATTTAACGTATAAAAGTCAACCAAAGTACATTTTTAATGCTTTTTTTTAGCCGAGCCATACTGGATGATCCTAGTTTTGGTGTGTTTAACTAATTAGTTGCCAAAAAAGCTGACATTTTTCAGTATCTTACAGGATTATAAAGTCTGGCCGTCTGATTTGGTGCATCTCAAGTTAAAACAAATCAAACCATAAACAGCTGGTTTAAACGTTATCTCACTGAGGGGCTATCCCTTGTGGTTCAGTTCTATGCAGCCGGGAAATGAATGTGGATTTCTGAGACAGCAGGTAAACTGGGAAATAACTGAAATTATCTTCTTGTTCCAGTTGAGATGGAGGTCGTTTCTTTGGGAACTGGGACTAAATGTGTCGGAAAAGCAGCCATGAGTCCCGCCGGTCTGTGTGATCCTTCTAATGGTTGTTTTTATTTTTTTCAGCCATATATTCATTTATATTTGCTCTGAAACTATTCCTTTGCTGAATCAGGGGACGTGCTCAACGACAGCCATGCAGAAGTCATTGCCAGAAGGGGCTGCATCAGGTGAATGTTTGGTCTCTTTTCTTATAGACCTTCACTCTTAGTGGTGGAGTTCACTGTGGAGGGGTTTCTGTGCAGGTATCTGATCCAGGAGCTGCACGGCGCCGTCAGCGGTCGCTGCAGCTCGCTGTTTCGCCCGGCGGATCAGAGAGGGAAGTGGAGGCTTCAGCCGGGAGTTTCCTTCCTCCTCTTTACCAGTCACACTCCATGTGAGTCCAACATGCTCCCAGCATGCTTTACAAGCTCTGAGTAAAGTAAGAGGAATCCATCTTTATCCAAAAAGTCATTTTTTGTACGATCTTGGATACTTTTTATAAATTCGGCGTTTCCACATCCTCAGACTGATACTTTGTTAAATCAACTGTTGGTCCAAGACATTTCCTCTCCTTTGGTGAAGTTCCTCTCTACATCAAAACTAACTTTGTCTGTTTTCATAACCTCCAATTTCCATCCAATCTAAAGTAATCCCAGAGCATTATTCTGTCATCACCGTGTCTAACTACCAGTGTGCTTCTTTTTTTATTGTTACTTTTTTGTTTGGATTACTCTTTATTTTTCCACTAGGGCCAAGACTTTTAACAAGTTAGTTTGAATTTATTAATTTTACAGATTTGATCGTGTTAATAAAATTAAGTTCATACTTCTTTTTACATACTAAGTTTCTGAGCTGAAGCTTTTGTGTTTCATGTTTCTTGTACACCAGTAAATGCGTCGAACAAGCAGCAACGCAACCTTTGGTCCACTGGGGGTTTTTAAGCTTAAAACCAAAAATCGTGCCCGTCCTTGTCACGTTAGCATAGTTGCTAATGTCAGCCTCTTAAGTTGCAGCCAGCCCACTTCAGATCAGATGATGAGCTTCAGAGCTAGCATGAGTACACGTCAAAAAACAAAAACAAATAAAAACAATCAAAACAACTCCCTGATACAATGGAAATAAATTGTTTCTCTTCGTAACTGGTTTAAGGAGAAAAACTACCCTTAGAGTTTTGTTAGTTTGTTTTGATTCCACTAAATGTTGAAGTCACTGGGAATCCCCAGCAGCAGCTGCCTCAGGCCGGGTCGCCTCTTGGTTTTTTTCCCCCCCTAATGTTCGTGGGGGCTGGAAGAAGATGTTAGTGTTTTTCAGGGAAGTGGTATAACCTGCAACAGGGTTTCCGCGGGTCATTAAAAATCATTAAAAGTCATTAAATGATAAATTTTTAAATGAAGGCCTTAATTGGCATGAAAAATAGGGATGCACAATATTGGGATTTTGGCCGATATCCGATATGCCGATATTTTAAAACTCATGTAGCCGATAACCAATACCGATGTTAAAGCTGGACAAAAATAAGTAGTCCTTGAAAATAGCAGTTTTGTTATCCATTTCTGACACTTTGAAAAATAATATACTCAAATATATTTTCATATGCTGATATCAAATTGATTATTTAAAAAAAACGCGGTCGATCTATTTTACTTTCAAAATCTCGTGAAATGTCATCGTTCTGTTACAAACTTTCGTTATATTTTGCAAATTCTTGTCAGATTTTGTTAGTAAAATAGATCGATACCGCGTCAATATATCAACATATAAAAATATGGCATAATTTCGTGAATTTTCGGGGGATTTCGTAGCATAACGATGACATATAGCAATATTTCATTAGTAAAAGAGATTGATATGGTGTTTTTAAATGGCAATATATCAGCATATGAAGATATTGGGATATTTTAATGCATCAATATTTTTTCCCTCGTCTTTAGAAGTTTTTAAGTCTGTAAAAAAGAAGTTTTTGAGGAAGAAGAAGAAGTAGTATTTTTTATTTTTTTTTAGACTTTAGAAACTCAGAAGCTGATCAAATATCGGGTTAAATATCGGTGGGGTGGCCGATGTCCCATATTCAGTTTTAAGGCCGATACAGGCCGATACCGATAGGGGGCTGATTATATCGTGCATCCCTAATTAAAAGTCATTAAATTTGATAACTGTGGCATTAAAATGGCTTCGGAAAAGAAGCTTGAGGTGTAGAAAAGGCTAGAGAATGGGGAAAAATGTAAATTTGAACCAAAATGGCGGGAAAACGAGGAACTTGGGACATGGCTGCAGCCTGTCCGCGGTGAAGATGACGAAGGATTTTGCTGTATGTATATATATATATATATATATATATATATTGGGTACTTGTTGATGGCATGAAGATAATTTCTAAGAGCATTAAAAGAACATTAAAAAGCATTAAATAAGAGTTGCTCATTCATGTACAAACCCTATGCAAGCACCAGAGTAATAAAAGTGAACAAATTTTGCTGGCAGTTTCAACATTTTAATCTAATTTTGGCTTTAATAAACTGTTTCAGTGGAGTGATCAGAGCTTGCTGCAATAGCAGCACCATCTATCTCCATGACAGCTTCTCTGATCGGTGTGTCATTTTTCAAACTCCTGTGACTTAGATGGTCAGAAGCAGATATGCTGCTTCTGCTGCTCGAGACGCGCTGCAGGACCTTTAGAAGAAACTTGATGCGCATCAACCATTGACTTTGCATCTAAACCTGCTTCTGCTGCTTAAATCGTGTCCGGGGCAAATGTAGCTTGGGGTACGGTGGCGGCTGCATCATGATGTGGGAGTGGAAAACCCAGCTTTAATAATAGAAGTTTAATTATAGAAATCAAGGTTTTTGTGCTATTCTCCAAGCTTTTCACGGCGTTAAGAAAAATGAACGTGAGGGATTTTCTTACATCGTCTCCAGTGCTGCTGATTAAGAGGGATAAAAAATGACACCTGGCATCTTCTAGAGCTAGTGGAAAAAATTATTCCATGAATGAAAAGTCATTCCCTTTCCGACGCTTCAGTTCCTCCAATCAATCTAAAGGTTACATTTCATTTAATATTTCGTAGCTTTAAAAACTCGTTGAACTGACGCTTTCTGAGGATAACGTTTCATCCCCAGGTGGTGACGCTTCCATTATTCCCATGACTGACTCCCAGTCCCAGCCCTGCCCTCCTGTTACATCGGCGAACCGCCGTCCAGAGCAGGATGGAGGGGGGAACCTGAAGAGGAAAGCTGAGGAACCCGGAGACGGAGGGAACATTAAGCTACCTCGTCTCCAAGAGAAAGAGACAAAAGAAGAGGAAACGGGCTGGACTGAATCCAGGACTTGTTCCACTAAAGCACCTGATCCAGACGAGTCTGCTCCAGCAACAGCAGAGGAGCTTGAACCAGACGGCCCTGCAGAGCCGCATCACCCAGCCTGTTCACGTCCACAGGTCACAGATGTTCACAGGACGGGTGCCAAGTGTGTCCCTGGAGGCCAGGCGGACCCTCTGCACCCTGGGGCGGGCTACCACAGCACCGGGGTCCTCCGTGTAAAGCCAGGTCGGGGAGCGCCCACCCTGTCCCTGTCCTGCAGTGACAAACTGGCCCGTTGGGGGGTGCTGGGCTTCCAGGGGGCGCTGCTGTCCCACTACCTGGAGGAGGCTCTGTACTTCAGCACCATCGTGGTGGGAAAGTGTCCATACAGCCAGGAAGTCATGCAGAGAGCCTTGGTGACGAGGTGGGGGCTGTGAGGGGATTTACTGTCATGTTTTTCCACACTGGCTTGATTTTTTTTTATATATATACATATAAAATGGTGTCTGCTGTTAAGCATGGGGTTGGAAGCATCCTGCTGAGGACCTGTTGTGTTTTCAGAGGTACAGATTAATGAAACATGGGCACAGAGCAGGTGTCTCTGTTTATAAAGCTGTTGTAAGCCGCTTTCCAGGCAAATGTTGTGATCTATAGATAAACTAACGTGAGAATGTGCATTACCTCATGGAAACTCTGACCCATCTGACAGTTATGCACAATTTTAAGGTGGAGGAATCTGGTTCAGGGGGGGAATTGAAGCCAGATTGCATCATAATTCTTCTCGGACATTTCAATTCACTTCCTTTGAAACTTTAAACGTATTTTGGATCCAAAACCACATTATAATATATCTTTGACCTGCTGAATCACAGCTATACATGAGGAAGTAATAAAAAGCTCATTAGGGGGTTTAAATTCTAAAGCAAGGTTCACACAATATTAAAATGTTTCCTCACCATCACATTCCTCTTCCTGATGATCAAGAGCGTGGTTCGTACCACAGGTCACTACGTAAATGATGAGAGGCAACTTAGTTTAACCCCTTAGTTCCAGTGAGTAGCTTTTTGTATATTTGCACAAAAAATATGAATTTAAAATCATGAAATGTTAACATGCACTTCATTGTGAAACAACACCCTCTTCTGGAGTGTATAATGCTCACTGTTGCTGCACTACTCGGCTCTCTAGTGAAGGAAAAACTGGAGACAACAGTCCAGTGTTGCCAACTTAGGAACTTTGTTGCTATATTTGGGGAGTTGAAGACCTCTAGCAACTTTTTTTATTTTCCAAAAAAAAGTGACTAAAGAAAAATTGTGACTTTTCTCTGTGTTTTTTTTATGAGATTAGTGACTTCTGGTGAAAGCAGCAACTGTTTTACTGTTACCGTTTATCAGCTGAGTCACTAATTCCCTAAGCGCTGTCTCACAGGCAGAAAGCCCCACATGCAGTCAGAGCACAGAGAGAAGCTGCCTATATACATTTGAGGTATATAGTATGGATTCAGGCATTGTCTAACAGTTCATACACTATTTCATAAATCATATGCTTAAGACGGCATCCCTGTTGATCACAGGTGTTAAACAGGACGAGGTAAGTGAGCTTAACTGATTGAAGAATATGTCTATGTAGAGATTAGGACACATCTAAATATAAGAACCTGTAGCCATTTTTTATGGACATATAAATCACATTGGTGCTACAGAGAGATGCTAACGCAGAGTTTTGGGTTTCTGGTGACAGATTCTCATTTTAAGACACTTTCTGTGAAAGAATCCTCAGATTTGAGACGTCCAGCACTAACTCCTTTTCTTTTTTATGCCTCCTATCTGATGTTCCATTGGTAACCATGAACTTAAAATGATCTGCAGACTAATTTTAATGAACATCAACATTCATGAGGATCATTTATGGTTTAGTGTCTGGGTGTATAGAGCTAAACATAAGGTGGAGCATTAATGGGAACTGAAGTACAGCTAAAGGAAAACTTAAAGGAGAA